CCCCCCCCCTCGGGCCACGCCCCCTTCGGGCAAACCACGCCCACCTAACCACGCCCCCAACCCCCCCCCCAATGGGGAGGCCGCTCCCCCCGCGCGCTGCGCTCCCATTGGCTGCGGCCGTTCCGGTCCCGGTGCCAAAAAGGGGCCGCGGCGGCTCCGCGCGCTCCGCGCCCGCGGCGGCGGCGGCTCCGGGACCCCCCGACAGCGACACCCCCCCCAAAAAAAAACACCGGGACCCCTGCCCGCACACACGCACACCGGCAGGGACACCCCGACACCGGGACCCCCCGCACCGGGATCCCCTCCCATCGCCGGTAACCGGCACCCCGCGGCGGCTGCGCTGTCCCGCCAGCCGGGACCCAGCTCCTCCATCCCGCGGTTACCGGGATCCCCGACACCTGAGCGTTCCCCCCGCACGGTCCGCACCCCCCGACCCGCCCCCTCTCTCTTCCCGGTAGTCCCCGTTAACCCCTTTTCCCCAATCCGTTTGAGCCCCCCGTCCCCGTCTGTCGCCCCCGGTTCTGCCCCGCCGGGGCCCGACTGGCAGCTGCCTACGGCCGGGATGAGCCGCCGCGATGGTACGGACGGGACGGGCCGGGAGCGGCGGGGCCGGGCCGGGTACCGGGGACAGGCACCGGTGGCACCGGGGACTGTGACAGCGGCCGGGATGGGGCCGGGGAGCGGCGGCACCGGGGAGCGGGGAGAAGGAATGGGGAGCGGAGCCGCTGGCGGTGCAGGCAAGGGACGGAGGTGGCACCGGGGACGGCCGGGGATGGAGATTGGTGGCACCGGCGGTGGGGATGAGGACCGGGATGGGATGCGGGAGCATCACCGGGAGCCGGACGGGAACGAGCGGGGAGGGACGGGGCTGTGTTGGCTGTGGCAGTCCCCGAGACAAGGCTGTGGTGGCACCGGGAACGGTGCTGTGGCAGCACCGGGGACGGGGCTGTGGTGGCACCAGGGACGGTGCTGCGGTGGAGGCACCGGGAACGGGGATGTGGCGGCACTGGGGAGGGAGCTGTGATGGCACCGGGAACGGGGCTGTGCCAATACCGGGAACGGGGCTGTGGTGGTGGCACCAGGGACGGGGCTGTGCCAGTACCGGGGACAGGGGCGGGACTGGGACAGGCTCAGCCGTCCCTGTCCCTGCTCCGGTCACACGCGAGCCCGGCGGCACCGGGATCCGCCTCTTCCCCGGGAAGCACCGGGAACCCGGCGCATCCCTGGGGGGCCGGGACTGCCGGGATCCCCCACGGGGTCGGGGCCGCCGGGGTCACCCGTGGGGCCGGATCCCGCATCTCCGGCGCCCGGGGGACGGTGACAGGGACGGGGACGGTGCCGGCGGGGCTCCGGAGGCGCCGCGGCCGCCAGCCCAGCCCGTGCCTGTGCCCTCCCGTGCAGGATGAGTTCCACCCCTTCATCGAGGCGCTGCTGCCCCACGTCCGGGCCTTCTCCTACACCTGGTTCAACCTCCAGGCCCGCAAGCGCAAGTACTTCAAGAAGCACGAGAAGCGGATGTCCAAGGAGGAGGAACGCGCCGTCAAGGACGAGCTGCTGGGCGAGAAGCCGGAGGTCAAGCAGAAATGGGCCTCGCGCCTCCTGGCCAAGCTGCGCAAGGACATCCGGCCCGAGTGCCGCGAGGACTTCGTGCTGTCCGTCACCGGCAAGAAGGCGCCGTGCTGCGTGCTCTCCAACCCCGACCAGAAGGGCAAGATCCGCCGCATCGACTGCCTGCGCCAGGCCGACAAGGTGTGGCGCCTGGACCTGGTGATGGTCATCCTCTTCAAGGGCGTCCCGCTGGAGAGCACCGACGGCGAGCGCCTGGCCAAGGCGCCGCAGTGCGCCAGCCCCGGCCTCTGCGTGCAGCCCCACCACATCGGCGTCACCATCAAGGAGCTCGACCTCTACCTGGCCTACTTCGTCCACGCGCCAGGTGAGTGCGGCCGCTGAGACGCCGTGGGCGTGGGCGCGGCGCCCGTCCCCGTCCCGCCGCCTCGCCGGGGCTGGGGGGGTCCGCACGGCCGCCCCCCGGGACCCCCGGCCCCACCTGGGGCGTCCCCGGGCGGCCTCGCTCGCACAAAGCCGCGCCGAGTGCCAACGCACGCGCCGCGCGCCCGGCGCCGCGTGCCAAGCCCGCGTGCCAGGATGGGCGCCGGGAGCGGGGCCGGGATTGGCACCGGGACGGGCGCGGGGCTGGGCTGGGCTCCGGGATCCGCGCCGCGGGCGCCGCTCTGGGTCTGGGGCGTGCGAAGCGCCCGCGCCCCCCGCGCCCGGGGGTCCGGTGCCACGCGCGGGTTGGGGGGGTCACACACGTGTGCAAACGCGGCTGAGGCAGGGGGCACACGCGTGTGAGCGCGGGGGGGACACCCCGTGTGTGTGTGTGTGCACGGGGGGACCCCAGCCCGGCCGCCCTGTCTGCGGGGAGGGGAATTTTGGGGCCGGACCGAGGGGTTTTGGGGTCGCTCCGTGGTGCCTCCGTCCTTCTCCGGGGGCGAGGAGCCGCTCCGGGGGCGCGCGAGCTGCCCCCCTCCCCAAATCCCCCTCGGTGCCCGCGTGCCAGACCCCGCACACCCACGGGGGGGGTCCCAGCCCCCCCGGTCCCCCCGCGCCCCCCAGCTCCCCCCCCCAGGCCCAGCTGCCGGGGCTCGAATCCCCCAAACGCGGCTCCCACCCGGCGCCGCCAAAATGGCCCCGGTTGGCACCGTGCCCCCGTGCGCGGCACGAGGCCCCGCCAGCAGCCCCGGCCCCCCCCCCCGGCGGCCCCCCCGCGCCCCCCGCCCCCTCCCCACGCCGGGGGCCCTTTGGCTGCCGCGGGCCGGGGGGGGCTCGCTGCCAGCCCCCCCTTGCGCGTAAGATGGCGGCGCTTGTTGGCACCCGAAACGCTCTGCGGCACCGCGGCCCCGCGCCGGGACCCTCGCGCTGCGGGGACCCCCCCGCCCCGCGAGCCGGGACCCCCGTGCCAAGGTGTGTCACCCCCACCGCCACCATCGCAGCCCCCCCGGGCATCCCCGGCCTGGACCCCCCCACCTGCCCCGGGTGCACCCCGGTGCCCCGGGGGACACCTGGGGACATCGGGGTCCCCTTCCCCACCGGGGGTCCCCAGGGTGGCTCTGGGGGGGCTGCGGAGCCCTGGGGGGACACGCGGGGTGGGGGGTGGGACATGAGGATGGGGTGAGGCGGGGGCTGCAGCAGCTCGGGGGGGGTCAGGGTGCAGCCGTGGGGGTCTTCGGGGGTCGGGGGGTTCCAGGTGCGCCGCGGGGGCTGCCCAGGTGCCGCCCCCCCCCACCCCCGGCATGGGGGACGCAGGTGCGGGGTGGGGGGGACACCCCCGGGGGGGTGGGGGCGCAGCTGCCCAGCAGCACCAGCCCCCCCCTGCTGCGGGCGGGGGTCGGGGGGCTCTGGGGTGGGGGGGGAGGGAGGAGGGGGTGCAGGGAACCCCCCCCGGTGGCTTTTGGGGGGTCTGGGGGTTGCGGGAGGGCCCCGCGTGGGGGTGGGAGGGGTGAGGGAGGGTCGGGGAAGGGGGGGGGGTCCGGCACGCGCCCGCCACGCGCGCTCCCCCCCCCCAACCGAGGTCGCGACCCCGCGCGTGCCCCAGTGACCCCTGACCCCCCCGCGGGGTGACACGGCGGGGTCACCACCGGGGGGAGGGGGGGGAGGGGTCACCGTCCCCCTGCCCCTCCCCCCTGCACGGCTCAGTCCCCTCCCGGTTTGGGGGGGGGACAAACCGAGCCCCGCGCCCCATGGGGGGGGGCACCGGGGGACCCCCACCCATCCGGGCTGGGGGAGCCCGGGGTGGGGGGACCCCGCTTCCCACGGGATGGGGTTCCCGGGGGGGTTCCCAGGTGGATGGGGGGGACCCCGGGGGGGGGGCACCCGGACCGGGGTGTTGTGGGGGGGGACCCGGGCGTCCCGGTGCCCCCCCTCCCGGCACAGACAATGGGCGCTTTGTTGGCGCTGCCCGCTGGCGGGGGGCCAGCGCATTCCTGGCCCCCGGCCCGGCCCCACGGCGGCCCCCGGCCCCCCCCACCCGGCCCGGCCCCCTGCCAGCCCCGACCCCCCCCCGGCCCGCAGCGCCGGCTGCGCCCCCCCCCATCCCCTGCCCGGCCACCGGGGTCCCCTCGGGGGTTCGCTATGGGGGGGGGACACCCCCCCACCCCCCCACCCCCCCAGTCCCCCACCCCTGGGTCCTGCCGGGGCTCGGGGTGGGGGGAGCGGCCGGCGGAGCCCCCCCCGGGGGTGCTGCGGGCGCCGGCGAGGTCCCGGCGGGCGCTCACCTCGAACGACCCCGCGGGAACAACGGGGCCGTTCATCGCCGGCACCGGCGGCGGCGGCGGCGGGGCCGCCCCACCCCCGGGACATCGCGGGGTCCCCGGGGGTCGTGGGGGGAGTCGGTGGGGAGGGGGGGGGACACCCCCGCGTCCGCGGCTGACCCCGTTTGTCCGCACCCCCCCCCCCGTCCCCCAGATTCCGGACAATCCGACAGCTCCAACCCCCAGGGAGACGCGGACATCAAACCACTGCCCAACGGTGCGTGCCCGCCGCTGTCCCGGTGTCCCCCGGTGTCCCCTGGTGTGCCCCGGTGTCCCCCGGTGTCCCTGCAGTGCCCCCAGTGTCCGCACGGTATCCCCCGGTGTCCCCGGTGTGCCCCGGTGTCCCTGGTGTGCCCGTGTCCCTGCAGTATCTCCCAGTGTCCCGGTGTGCATCGGTGTCCCCCGGTGTCCCCTCGTTATTCCCCGGTGTCCCCCTGTGTCCCTGGTGTCCCTGCAGTGCCCCCATTGTCCCCTCAGGGTCCCCCCGTGTCCCTCCTGTGCCGAGTCCCCCCGCGGTGTCCCCGCTGTCCCTCCTGTCCCCCCCCCGGTGGTCACCGTGTCCCGTCCCCCCCCCGGTGCTGCCCCGAGTGACCCCGGTGTCCCCCCCGGTGTCCCTGCAGTGTCCCCGGTGTGTCCCGGTGCGCCCCGCGGTATCCCCTGGTGTCCTCCGTTGTGCCCTGGTGTGTCCCGGTGTCCCCGCGGTATCCCCCGGTGTCCCCCGGTGTCCCTACAGTGTCCCCGGGGTGTCCCGGTGTCCCCTCTGTCCCCCTCCGCGGTGTCCCCGCTGTCCCTCCTGTCCCCCCCCCGGTGGTCACCGTGTCCCGTTCCCCCCCCCGTGCTGCCCCGGTGACCCCGGTGTCCCCCCCGTGTCCCCAGGCCACCTGACCTTCCAGGACTGCTTTGTCACCTCGGGGGTCTGGAACGTGACGGAGCTGGTGAGGGTGTCCCAGAGTAAGTGGGGACACCGGGGGGACACCGGGGAGACACCGGGGGGGGACACCGGGAGGGGACAAAGAGGGGACATGGAGGGGACACGGGGAGAGGGCACAGGGGGACACCGGGGGGACACCGGGGGGGACACGGGGAGGGGACAGAGCCTGGGATGGCACCGGGGGGACACCGGGGAGACATGGAAGGGACACGGAGGGGACACGGAGAGAGGACACAGGGAGACACCGGGGGGACACCAGGGCGAAACCGGGGTGGAGACACCGGGGGGAAACTGGGGGGGACACCGGGGGGGGACACCGGGAGGGGACTCCGGGGGGGACACGGGGAGAGGACACAGGGGGACACCGGAGGGACACCGGGGGGGACACGGAGGGGTCATGGAGGGGACACGGGGAAAGGACGCAGGGGGACACCGGAGGGTACGCGGGGAGGGGACAGAGCCTGGGATGGCACCGGGGGGGACACCGGGGGAACATAGAGGGGACACAGAGGGGGAGCTGGGACCGGGATGGCACCGGGGGTAGGGAATGGGAGGACGGAGGAG